TTTTACCTTTGTTTTATAAGGTAAAAGTGTGTACATTAATATTCCCCTTATTTCTATCAACTTATTCTAGCTTTTAATCATGTCACCCTTTATGGAGAAACTTTTCCTTTCTTTCCTATCTAACTTCTAATCCTGTCACCTGCCTGAGGTAAAAAGAGAAATAGAAGAATAGAAGGAGAGAGAGAGACGGTTCATATTTTATTTTATAACATACAAAAATTCTGATTTCAATGGAACAGAGTGTTGTCCGGGTACAAATCATTTTAGGAAATAAGAATCAAAATGTTTACAACAATACTCCTTGCATTAATACCCATTCTATTAATATTAATAACCACCATCATCATATTTGTTTAACCGTTAATGTATCTTCGTTATATCACTGATCCTTCCTTATATTTCTCTGTTTCTGCCTCCTGTTTCTGTCAGCTAGACATTGATAATATAAAAAAAATTAATATTTAAACTAACATTAAATTAATTTAATTATTATTGAAGTAATGTTTAAATATTTTAAATGAAAACAGTGAGGTTTTACAGGGGGGCGGGAAGAAGGACACAACTGGAAATTGCGCATGTATTCAAATCTTTTCGAACATATTTCTTAAAATTTGGGACACAAAGGAAAAAAAAAGGCTCTTAAGTTTGAAATGAAGCCCTGAAAAATGCTGACATATTTACAGGTAGTCCTCGACTTACAACAGTTCCATTTAGCGACCGTTCAAAGTTACAATGTCGCTGGTGGGGAGGGAAACACCGTTTTCCACACTTGCGACCGTTGTATGACATGATCACGCTCAACAAACTGATTTGTATTTAGGATGGCCGCAGTGCCCCAGGGTGTGTGTGTGTGTGTGTGTGTGTGTGNAGAGAGGAAAGAAAGAAAGAAGGAAAGAAAGAAAAAAGGGAGGGAGGAACGTAGAGAGGAAAGAAAGAAATAAAGAGCAAGAAAGAAGAAAAGGGAGGGAGGGAGAGAGAAAAGAAAGAAAAAAGGAAAGAAAGAAAAAGGGAGGGAGGGACGGAGAGGAAAGATAGAAAGAAAAAAGGGAAGGAGGAACATAGAGAGGAAAGAACGAAATAAAGAGAAAGAAGGAAAGAAAGAAAAGGGAGGGAGGGACAGAGAGAGAAAAGAAAGAAGGAAAGAAAGAAAGAAAAAGGTTGGGAGGGACGGAGAGGAAAAAGAAAGAAAGAAAAAGGAGGGAGGAAAGAAAGAGAAAGAAAGGAAAGGGAGGGAGGGACAGAGAGAAAAGAAAGAAAGAAAAAAGGCTTCTCCTTCTTTCGGGTGGGGCCCAGAGAGACATCAACATCTGGGTCCTTTGGGAGTCTGAAAAGGCCAAAGCAAACCTGATGGATTTCTCACCCCAACGAGAAACACCTTTGTGTCGGGGCTCAGGTGTGCACCTGCCACCGTCCGGGAGATGCCACCTTTCTGCTACTCCCATCATCCCCCACTCGGCACCCTGGCTGGGGAGAAGGGAGTGTTGTAACCCGTCTGGAGGGCGCAGCTGGGGAAGGCTGTTGCGATATGGCTTTTGCCTGAGCAGCTGCTGGGCTTCATTCCAAGCCAAAAGGACGCCTGGACAACAACGGATATTTACTGCCTGATGGAGTCACGCACGCACACAAACGAGTGTTTACTGCCTCTGAGTCACCCATGTTTCTTGAGTGCGCCCATCCGGCCTTCGTGGCAAGCCCGCCTTGCCTGACCCCGGAGGAATCTTGGGCCAGACGGATTCCTGCAGAGGATCTGTTTCCTGGCATTGTACGGCATTATAAATCACCGATAAACACAGGCAGACGGGTTGGGAAAAACGGGGAATTTGTCGAAATGTAGCCAAATCTCTCCTGGTTTCAATCAACCAATTTGAATAGAGCTGGAAGGGACCTTGTAGGTCATCTAGTCCAACCCCCTCGTCGCAGCAGGAGACCCTACGCCATTTCTGACAGAGGGCAGCCCAGCCTCTTCTTGAAAGCTTCCAGGGATGAAGCTCCCACAACTTCTGAAAGCAACTTCGGCTCCATTGAATATAGAATAACAGAGTTGGAAGGGATCTTGTAGATCAGCGTTTCTCAACCTAGGCAACTTGAAGATGTCTAGTCTTCAAGTCCCATAATTCCCCAGCCCGCGTATGCTGGCTGACGGATGCTGG